TGGGCCTGACGGAATCCCCCCAATTGTGCTGAGGACGTGTGCTCCGGAGTTGGCACCGGTTCTAACGCGTCTTTTCTGGTACTCCTACTACCTAGGCGTAGTTCGGGACTACGCATCACGGAAGACAGCTTTTGTCCACCCGATCCCTAAAAAAGGCGACCGCTCAGACCCGTCCAACTACAGGCCTATCGCCATCACCCTCTTGTTCTCCAAAATAATGAATTCCGTTATAAACTGCCACCTCATGCGGTACCTTGGCACAATGCGCTTCTTTCGAAGCTCCCTTCCTATGGGCTTCCCGAAAAATTATGCTATTGGACCACCAGCTTTCTTGCAGATCGGAGCTTCAAGGTTGTTGTAGACGGTGCATGCTCCGACTACAAGCCTATTAACGCTGGTGTTCCACAAGGCTGCGTGCTATCACCAACGCTGTTTCTTCTGCATATCAATGATATGTTGCAAACCGGTAGCATTCATTGCTTTGCGGATGACAGCACTGGTGATGCTCGTAAGACACAAGTTTATCCCGGTACTCGCCGACGTTTTCCTGAGAAATATTGGCACGGCCGGTGTATAAGGCATCACCAGTGCTGTCGTCTGCATAGCAATGAATGTTACGAGAAACGACGAAAACCGTATTGACAATCAGCCGGTGATCCTCAAAGGGGTACCCCATGAGCTGGCAGTTTATAATAGACTCCATTATTTTGGAGAACAAGGAGGTGATGGCGATAGGTCTGAGCGGTTGCCTTTTTTAGGGATCGGGTCGACCAAAGCTGTCTTCCATGAATTTGGGACTACGCCTTGGGAGTATGAGTACCGGAAAAGACGCGTCTTTACTGAAAAAATCTCGGATCGGGGGCGACAGTTCCATCCCCAGAAGACACAAGTTTGCGCGTTTACCGCTAAAAAGAACCCCTTTGTCGTACCTCCCCAGTTTCAAAGCACTCCCCTTAGTGTCTCAGCTAGCATCGGAATTCTTGGCGTCAGCATATCGAATAGTGTGCAGTGGAAGGCCAAATTGGCCTCTAAAAAGCTTGGCGTGCTCAGCAGAGCGAGAGATTATTTCATGCCAGCACATCGCAACTTTAAAGAGTGCAAGTTCGGTCTCACATGGAATACTGTTGCCATCTCTGGGCTGGGGCTCTTCATTGCCAGCTCCTTCCACTTGACCGCATCCAGCACAGAGCGGCTCGAATCTTCGACAACCGAGTCCTATCTGATCGGCTCGACTCATTGGCGCTGCGAAGAGATGTTGCATCTCTTTGCATTTTCTTTCGCATTTACCACGGGGAGTGCTCTAAGGAATTGTTTGGATTAATCCCAGCCGCCAAATTTCACGAACGCACATCGCGACAGAACTCCCGATACCATCCACACCATCTGGATGATTAGCGGTCCACCACTGTGCGATTTAGAAGATGTTTTCTTCCTCGGACAACTCCCTTGTGGAATAGTTTACAACCAGTGATTTTTCCGGACCGATACGACTTAGGGTCCTTTAAGAAAAGACCCTACTCCTTTTTAAAAGGCCGGCAACGCATCTGCAATTCCCCTGGTGTTGCGGTTGTTCATGGGCGGTGGTAGTCACTTACCATCAGGTGAGACGCATGCTCGTTTGCCCCCTCTCCTATAAAAAAAAAATCTGCGCAGTTTTCTTTACAATCCTATTAATATGAGGAATGTAGGTGAGTTTCAAGTCCAACATAACACCCAGATCTCTCATTTCTCCTACTTCTGTGAGCATAGTACCTTTAAGACTATAGGAAGTAGTGCAAGGTTTGATATAGAAACATTTTTTGGTAACATCATATAGTTTAACTTACATAAAGATACAAGATCATCTTGCAGAAGTAAAGAGTCAAAATTATTTGATATCACTCTCCAGAGCTTCAGGTCGTCTGTAAACAAGGAAACATAGCTTGCCTTTAGCGTAATCGTGACATCATTTATAAAGAGCGAGAACAATATTAGTCCCAGATGGGAGCCCTGAGGTACTCCAGATTCTCCGTAGTACGTAAGCGATAGGCCTCCCCCAAGAAATGTATAAAGTAATAAGTTGTCGATGAGTAACTCTTCAATGTGTAATCTTGCGGAGAGTGAACTCTAAATATCATAAAACAATCATCGCCGTAAATATTTTTTTTTATAAATAATTATCTAATTTTAATATCCTTTTTCCGTGAAAAAATTTTAACATACTTAGTATTATAGGGAATTTTGTTATAAATAGTTATACATCTTCCCAAAAATAAGCCACTAGTTTATTATGAAGTATCTACTTTGGAACAGCAAACTTAGATTTTATTGACATTATTGATTTATTCAAAGTTAATAAACTAGTTTCTTAGAAACACACAATGTCGTATTCTATAACTAATATAGAAAAAAATAACAAACAAGCCTTTGCAATAATTAGCAACACTTCCAAAAATCAACTTGAAAAAACTAGCTATAGTACGTGAGGGTAATATGGTCATCCGGTTAATATGGTCACTTTCTTATAACTCAAAAACTACAGCGTCGTTTGCATAGAACGCTCTGTGATACGGTAGGTCTTGACCAGTCTATCAAATAATAAAGGGTCAAAAAGTCGCTCCTTTATCGACGCAATTTTGACAGTTGATATTATTGTAAATATTTTAATCGATTTTTGTACTGTGTAGTGTAGTTAGTTTTTTTTAAGTAGAAGTGTGCCTAATTATTTCCAAAGCTTGTTTGCTATTTTTTTTCTCAATATATTAGTTATAGTATACGAGTTTGTGTTTTTGTCTCTGTTCTCCTCCTAATTTTGGTTGTATAGGGCGATAAAGCTTAAGGTGGCCATATTACCCCCACGTACTTACTATAATATCAACTGTCAAAATGGCGTCGATAAAGCGGCGGCCTTTTGACCCTTTATTATTTGAATGACTGATGAAGAGCTATCGTATCACAAAGCTATCTATGAAAATTAGGCTGTAGTTTTTGAGTTATACGAAAGTGACTATATTAACCGGATAACCATATTACCCTCACGTACTCTATAGAAAATGAATTGTGATGCAACCGGGGATAATAATATAATACTAATATATTACTTTTTTCATAAAAGTTTCTGAGTGACTCTTGATCTAATCTTGTTGTATTCACATCAATAACATCTTCGTCTTATCTTTTTAGTTGCGTGTGTATAAAGTGAAACTAAGTATTCTTGACAAGACTTCAATATAACTAGTGACCGACCGAAGATTCGGTTTCGGTTTCAGTTTCGGCATGTTTCGGCAATAAAATCTAGTCTCGGTAATAGTTTCGGTTGCGGCAAAAAATATGCCAAACCTTCCGCGGCGCCGAAACTCAGTGTTCGTGGATTATCGTGCGTCGTTCGGATGAGTTCGTGTCTCGTTTATTATTCATAATTATACAGAAACAGATTCAGAAACTTTTTTTATTCAATATAGATTATAATATAAATAATACTTATTGAAAGTCACTCTTTTGTTTAATTATACCACTGGTTCGAATAAAAACCTCTGTCCTTGGAAGAAACAGCAAGAAACTGAGGGAGTTTTTTTTTAAAAAGCAGCTTACAATCAGAGGCGTAGCGTAGACTAATATAAACGTGGGCGAAGTTGCATCAGCGAGGCCCCTTTTCTTTCGTTCCAAAGATCTACCCAATAGATCTATCCTACCAAACATGATTTGACACGACACACCTTCTCATATCTATTAATGCTTGACAAGTCTCGTATTCCGTCAATGTAACTGTCGCGGTTTTTGAAGGTAGTTAGAACGGCCTCGCAGACGTACTTAAGAGGGGCTTCTTGCGGGGCCCCAAACGAACACACTTAAATTTATGACTTTCTTTTTCGAGCGTAAACGTGATCAAATTTAATTAGTCATCTGTGGTAAATTCTGGGGGCATCACATTTTAGGGGGCCTCGCGGGGCCCACTTCGCCCACGCCTAGCTACGCCATTACTTACAATCATGTATGTAAATTCCTTAATGTTATAATAACCCTTTTTATGATTTATTCATGTAATAAAAACAGCAATGGTCCCAATATTGATCCTTGGGGTACGCTTATTGTTAAGGGTTGGAAACTAGCTGTCAGATAGGGTATGATTTTATATGTTTAGCTATTGTATCGTGATTTATGCAATCGAAAACTTTGGATAGGTTGCAAAAGAAACCTTCCACGTTTTCACGTGGAACGTTTCACGTTCAACGTCAAATATGTTGAAGTTTGGCTTGGAAGTTTGTAGGTAAGTTGAATGTTCATTGTTCTATACTAATACGTTATGAATACGTAGTCATTAGTATTCCCGCGAAATATTTTTTTTAAGTGGCAATAGTAAGCTCTCCACTAGCGACTCTATCTACTGAACAGTAAAGTTGGTTACTGTTCAGTAGATAGAGTACTATATGGATTTGTACTGAAGTTGATGGTGAGTAAGATAAAGCATTTTTCTATGGCGTGATCGCGGAGCAGGAAGAAATTCAAATTATTGCAAGTCATACAAATGTGTACTTTAAATACTCGAAAATAAACTCAGTTTTCGAATCACAAATACTGTTCAAAAGGTCCTAAAACTATCTTAGTTGGCAATAGAAATAAAACTTTTTTTGTTGGGAATTAAGTTTAAAAATGCAAAGCAATAAAAAAGATCCTGCTCCGCGACCATGCTTTATATTTTCTTATTAACACATCACGTCAAAATTGTTGATATGTTGTACAACTGTTGGTACACTTTTCTTTCCTTGCTAATGTGTAAGTTTGCTGTCACTAAATGTAGTACAAACTATGCACTTTGCCATTTCCACTTGTTTTTAATTTTTCTTGAACTTTACAGTGTGACACATAATGTGAAGAAGTTAATTTGTAAATATAATACACATCAAAGGCTCTATGGTCTAAAACTTTGGCATGTCTTTAGTGGCAAATCGTAAAAACAAAAATTTCCGCTTGTTGTGTTTTTGGTTAACCTTAAATAAATCCATCCATCTAATAAAATTAACATGAAAGACGTAATAGATGTAATGGCTTTACAAAGTAGTAGGCGTGAAAGAAGATTACCAGATTATCGAAGTGCTTCTGGTCATAGTATGGCTACAAACTTTATATTTGAATGTGGTATTAAACTAGGTTTACAGCCAGCTACTGTTGCTACCGCAGCTATATTTTACCATAAATTTTTCAAAGAAGCCGACAAAAATGACTACGATTGTTATGTTATCTGCACGGCTTGCCTTTGCGCTGCTGGAAAGTCACGAGATGAGCCAGTACGTCTCAGGGATGCTGTTAATGTCGCCCACAATTCGATAAACCGAGGCTCTGGTCCATTGGAGTTAGGCGATGAATATTGGTCTATGAGAGGCGCTGTTGCTCAAGCTGAGCTGCTAGTTCTACGTTTATTGGGCTTCAACTTGGACTCACCATCTACACATCGATATTTGTTACATTATTTACGATCTCTTCAAGAATGGTTCCCTGCGTCCCAGTGGCGTACTGCACCAATAGCTCGTACAGCAATGGCATTTTTACAAGATTTTCACCATTCTCCTGCAATTCTGGATTACAGAGCACCTCATATAGCTGTGGCCTGTTTGACATTAGCATTACATGTTTTGGGAGTCTCTGTGCCTTTAGCATCCACATTAGATGATGATGCAGCTTGGTATTCTGTAAGTATTGTTGACAATTTGGCTTTAAATTATATTTCTCAACAAATAAATTTTATAATTTATTTCCATTGGCTTACCTAATGAATTTAGAAACATTGACTTACACTTGACAAAACAACCTCTAGTGGCAGACTCATTAATGGTAAGGGAAATATTAGGTGAACCTCCACTAGATGGAATAAGAACCTGGTAAAACAGAGGGCATGTAGTCCATGAATGTAAGTGACTCAGGTCTGTATTTTATAGAATTCTTTGGAATGGACTTCTGAAAGGGTATATTGATGATGATGATAAAACAAGTGTTTATCATAAATAATTTGTAAATAACTAAAATGTAAACAAATACAAAGTAAGACTGTAACATGATAATTTATACAAAATAAAATATTTGTTTTTAATTTAGTTTTTAAAACTTTTGTGTCCTTTGAACTAGTAATGCTTCATGATATCAAATTTTAAACAGTTTATTGACAATTTAATTTTCAATTATATAATTCATATAAGAAGTAGTAGTGCAAATGTTGATGTACTTGTTATTTAAAACTAGCCAAATTTTGTAACTGCAATCAAAGGTTCAATGCTCTATGGTGGCAAGTACCATCTAAATGGTTGCACAAGCTTAAACTTCCTACGATGACACAACAGTTGAAGTCACCTGATAGGTAGGTTACTTGCAGATCCTGCCCCTTCCCTTTCTATTTGCGATTGCTAAGAACTGGTTGCAGTGTATCAAAAACATTACTATGCAGTAATCATGATGAAATGTACGTATTGGCATAATAGATCAGGGAAAAAGTTTCTTCGTAGTTTGTTTGTATAAAATTAAAGAAAAATCTCTTTGGTTGTAATGTTATTATCTGGCTGGTTTTAACATCAATACTTATAGGACATCAAGAAAAAGAAAAATAAAAGTAAAAAACACTTTCCTGCCATTTTCAATTGTTTTTTTAAAGTTTTATTCCTAAGAGGGAAAAATTAAACTCATGCTGTGAAAAAGCACAAAGTTGGTTCAAGTGTTTTAAGCCTGGGAATTTTGATGTTAAAGATGCAGCTCGCTCTGGTCCTCCATTTTTTTAAAAATTTGGAACAAGACCAGCATATTAGTACTTACAACATGGCCAAGGAATTGAGGATAGACTACAAAACAGTTTTGACCCATTTGAAAAAGTCTGGCTATACAAAAAGCTCGATATTTGGGTACTACACAAGCTCACTGAAAGAAACCTAATGAATTGTGTACAATTCCCTAATGAAACATATTGAAACTGAACCATTTTTGACAAAAGATTGATCACTGGTGATGAAAAGTGAATCACCTTTACAAGAATGTGCGAAAAAGATCATGGTCAAAGGGTAGTCAAGCTCTACAGGTTGTAGCGAAACCTAGATTAACACGCAATAAGGTGATGCTGTGTGTATGGTGGGGCATCATTTATTACTGCCGGGCAAAACCATCGATTCGAAGCTCTACTGTCAACAACTAATGAGATTAAAGCAAGAAATTGAGAAAAAAGGCCGGAATTGATCAACAGAAAAGGAATGGTCTTTCATCATGATGACACCAGAGCACACACATCTTTGGCCACTCAGTACAAATTGGGAGAGCTTGGTTGGGAAGTGTTAATACATCCACCATGTAGTCCTGACCTTGCACCCTCACATTTTCACCTGTTTCAGTCTCTTCAGAATTCTTTAGGTAGTGTTAGGTTAACATTAAGAGAGGATTGTTAAAAAAAAATCTTGATTTTGTATATAAAATATGAAGAAACTTTTTCCCCGACCTTATATTTGCTATGTGTCATTGGATATGAAATTTCATACAGGGATATAATTATATTTACCTGTTAAATGGTAATTATAACCTACTTATGTGTAAAGCCGATTTATTTACTAAAAGTGAAAAGCCATTTAACCCTTGGTTGTAAATAAGTGTTGGGTGGTGTGGGAACTGCAGATATTTAGATATTTTATATTTTTGTGTATTGGTTGTTTAGATTATTGTATAAAGTATTAAAAATTATCTTAAATTTTTAGGTATTTACAAAAGACCTGCAGAAAGAGAAGAATTGGGAAATTATGGAAAAAATTATGCAAGTGTACAGCAGGGAGCCAGAACCTATATAACAAAATAGTGTCTTACAAGAGATAGAGGAATGTGTGTGATATAATTTCAGTTAAAATAGTTCTTTAATGATGTCTCTTAAAGTCAAGGACAATTATTATTTGTAATGTACTATGACTTCAGTAAACAAATTGCATTTATTCTTTCTTAAATAATTTTGTCTATTTTTCGCATGAATACACATTAACATAGTTCAATTTTCAATACTTAATTTTAATTCAATCATAATTATAAATAAAAATCTAAGCCTATTGTACCTAAACCTAGCATTTTGTATTGGGTGATGGTTATCAGTAGCACCACATGACATTTTTATTGATCATTCACCTTATTGCCCGTTTTAGCAGTCTCCTGATTTAACTTAGTGGTCCTGGGGTCTCAACTGTATATGTCAAAAACATATTATTTTATTTATAAGTGAGAAAATTAGTTTGCTAAGATGTGCATGTACAAATAAAATGGTGTGTATTATATAAACTTTGTTAATTACCCATATTACGTTGATTGAATGAATTTTTTTTAAGTCTAGGTGTGAGTAAAATGGTATCTTTTTCTATATTATGACTGATAATAGGCAATTTAATATTTTTTGAGAATATGGCTAAATGTTTGACTTTGTGTGTCTTGGATTCGATTTACCCACATAAGTGATATTGGTGTGTGTTTGAGTGCTAAGAGGGTGTAAGAGAAAATCAACTTGACCTGCACACATTGTACCCTATTTATTTATGGACGAGGTTGATGACAGAAATTCTATTTAAAAATCTTAAACCCAATTATTATAAACAAAATAGGACTTTAATATCTAGGGCATATAAATATGTCATTTGCATGGCTCGCTATTTGAGATGTGTACTTATTATTTATTTATTTATTTTTATAGAAGAAAGGGCAAACGAGCATGCGGCTCACCTGATGGTAAGTGACTACCGCCGCCCATGAACAACCGCAACGCCAGGGGTATTGCAGACGCGTTGCCGGCTTTTTAGAAAAGTGTAAGCTCTTTTATTAAAGGTCCCTAAATCGTATCGGTCCGGAAAAATCGCCGGTGGTAAACAATTCCACAGAGAAGTTGAACGAGGAAGAAAACTCCTAGTAAAACGCACAGTCGTGGACCGCCAAGTATCCAGATGGTGAGGATGGTATCGTGAATTTTGTCGCGATGTGCGTTCATGAAATTTGGCGGCGGGATTAATCCGAACAATTCCTCAGAGCACTCCCCGTGGTAGATTCGATAGAAAATGCATAGGGATGCTACATCCCTACGCAGCACCAGCCGATCAGGAAGAACTCTGTCGTCGACGATTCGAAACGCTCTGCGCTGGATGCGATCAAGTGGAAGGAACTGGCACTGGAGTGCCCCGGCCCCGAGATGAGAACAGTATTCCATGTGAGACCGAACTTGCGCTTTGTAAAGTTGCGATGTGCTGGCATGAAATACTCTCTCGCTCTGCTGAGCACGCCAAGCTTTTTAGAGGCCAATTTGGCCTTCCCTTCCCAAGTGACCACGAAACTGCACACTATTCGATATGTCGACGCCAAGGATTCCGATGCTAGCTGAGGCACTAAGGGGAGTGCCTTGAAACTGAGGAGGTACGACAAAGGGGTTCTTTTTAGCGGTAAACGCGCAAACTTGTGTCTTCTGGGGATTGAACTGGACTAGATTTAGTCGCCCCCGATCCGAGACTTTGTTCAGTAAAAACTACTTCAGACACAAGTTTATCCCGGTACTCGCCGACGTTTTCCTGAGAAATATTGGCACGGCCGGTGTATAAGGCATCACCAGTGCTGTCGTCTGCATAGCAATGAATGTTACGAGAAACGACGAAAACCGTATTGACAATCAGCCGGTGATCCTCAAAGGTACCCCATGAGCTGGCAGTTTATAATAGACTCCATTATTTTAGAGAACAAGGAGGTGGTGGCGATAGGTCTGAGCGGTTGCCTTTTTTAGGGATCGGGTCGACCAAAGCTGTCTTCCATGAATTCGGGACTACGCCTTGGGAGTATGAGTACCGGAAAAGGCGTTAAAACCGGTGTCAACTCCGGAGCACACGTCTTCAGCACAATGGGAGGGACTCCATCAGGCTGACGTCTAGAGAGGAGTGCTTTGCGAACCAAGCGCGGTGTGAACCGCCCATCCGACATGGAGCACACACCGCCGGCTGGTCAGCGGTGTGTTCCCCCTGTCATCTAGATTCGAGTTGGACGCAGAGAGCTTAACAGATCGGCTTTCTCCTTTGCGGCATGGGTCAGTGAGTCGTCCTCTCTGGCAGAGATGGAAGAGATGGCTGACTGAAATTCCCTTGGATAGTCTTGGCGAGAGACCAGAATGCAAGGGTTCCCGAAGGAAGGTGAACTAGCTTCTCGCCAATTCTGCCGAAGTGCTCAGACCTTGCCTTGGCAATGATTCTTGAAGGACCTGGAGGCGGAATTATACTACTTTTAAAAGCGCTGGTGTTTACATCCCGAGACGTTGATGCGTCACTCCAGGCCCGGTAACAGATATCCTCTGACGTATACACAAACTCTAGCCCGGAGCACAATAAGTTGTACCCTGGGTAGGAGAGATATGAAGTAACAGCCGAAGAGGACATCTGGGTCTCGGTTAAAAAAAGCAAGGCCGGCTTCGCCGTCTTTAGATGGTGGTGGACAGCGTTAAGGTTGGAATGAAGTCCCTTGATGTTGCAAAAATTCACGGATAGCGTGACAGGGGTTGCCTTATTGCTCCGAGCAGTTAGTTGCGAGCAGAATGTCGCCTCCCCCCCCCTCCCCCTCAAGAATACGCGGGCAGCCTGAGCAGCTTGGTCGTGGATGTTCAGCGAGGGATTCTCCAGGGATGCTGCCCGTGGGGTAGTTTTTCGTTTAGTTCTGCTACCATGTTGGTGGGGGGGTGATTGGGCCTCCGGCCACCTGCACTCACCAAGCGAAACGCATAGCAAAAGGTAAACCTCTTCTTCACGCTGGTATTCTGTGAGGTTGTGGTACCACCCTGGTTCGAGCCGGCCCATCGGTGCGGCAGCAAAAGCTACCACTGTTGATCATTATTCAGTGTACTCCCGTCTAGGAGTATTTGTACTACATTTTTTTTCAATGTAACTTTGTTTAGAGAAAAAATGAAACAATACCGTTGACTAACTGCAGCCTTAAGGCTCGTTTGTACTATGAGGTGTAGGTATGAAAATGTTACTTTGCTTCCCACATAATTAGTATTAAAACTGAGTTTTAGAATAAACTTTTTTTTGCTTGATATAAGGTTTACCGTTTCAATTCATATCTTTGCTAAGTGCACAGGTTAAACGATTTAGTGAAATTTTTATTAAAAAAATATCCAGCCAATTACTATGATTTACGTTTCTGTCTTCCCCAATCCTTATGCATATATTAAATTTATAAAAAAATATTTTATTAGGCGCAATAATTACATCTGTTGCAGACTGGATTTAGGTAGTCACTTACTATCAGGTGAGCCGCATGCTAGTTTGCCCCTTCTCCTATAAAAAATTCAAATTAACAAGTATTAGGACTTACAATTAATAGATCTGGGTCTAGACCTTAGGCCATGTACCATTTATATATGTAAACAGCAGCATCATACATTAATAGTAAGCAGCAGATATCTTAGTGTGAAAGACTTAAATATAAAAAAATAATTATAAGTAATATCATACCATTACTAATGTATAGCCTTAATTAATGAATAGGAGAGGAGAATGCAAGGTAAATAAACAACATTATTAGATCTACAAACAAATATAATTCAGTTTTCTAACATTTTACGATACATAATTTATATAAATGTACAGGGTAAGCTCATGACATGGGAAAAGCGGTACTAGTTTTGAACTTGCTACCGGAAAAACGCTCTGTGCAATTTAATTTCCATTAGACATGGGCGACAATGTACCGCTCTGATATGCTTTAAGGACAGGTATGACAACTTAAATCTAATATGAAGAATGATTGATCAATTTCAGTGCTGCCAGGTTACAAATCTACATTAGACACCAATGACTAGTAATATATAAAATACGCTAAGTTTAAGCGTATTAAATTTTATTTCCCATTAGTATGCTAGATAATGTGAATTATTGTAAGTTTATAAGCATATTTGGAGCAAATAACAAAAAAAAACTTCTGTGCGTCCCAATGGAAGACAACAGAAATGTTACAAAACATTTTAAATTTACCCATTTTAATCAAACTTTGTGCTCCTATTTGGTAACTTCGTAGTATAGCAAAATAAATTATAATAATCATAAAACGAGCAGTTATTATCAACATAGAATCATATTTTTGAATATTGGTATATATAGAAACAGGGTCTTATTCTAATACTTTTATTTAAGTTCTATAAATAATTTCACATAGACAAATTTTAACACATGATATACATGTAAATGACACAAATGACAGTAAATATTTATTGCACAATACTATTAACAGCTACTGGATTCAATATCAACACACCGGGGACACACAGACGTATATGTATGGGGTGGGAGTGGGACACGTGACACACCTCACCTGTATAATGTAACAAACACAATGTTTTAACACAGGAATATCAAAACTTAAGTATGTATCATAGAAAAAATATTGATATTCCATACAATTAAAATATACATAAGTTAATAATTAACCGCCACATGGAAATTTTTATAAATTATAATTATAGTTATGAATTTTAGAACAATAGGTATAGGACTGTTTAAAGAAATTACAATCTTTAGTTAAATAAGCTATATAACTTATCAAGCAACATTCATAATTTAAATCGCTCATATTACTGCACAAAATACACATACCTCACAATTATGACAGCAAATCTATATAGAAAAAGGCAGTGTAAGTAAGGTAAAGTTTTTATTAAAGTTGTTACTTGGGTAAAAAATTATTTTATGGAGATATATAAAATAGGCACTTGAAGTGAGAATTCTACTGTAGCAAAATTAAACCCTTCATTAACAAAAATAAAGCTATAAAGTTAAAAAAAACAGCAGAGGGAATGTATTAGCCACTTCAAACGAACACTAATGCTGCTTATGTTATGACACAAGCAGAGAAGCATGAAAATTTAGATTAAAATATTATAGTGAGCGCAATAACAACTATCATCGTAAAAAATTTCATATTCTACGATATTATAAAATAAAACAATAACATCTTCTATGGCAGCTGAAATAAAATGTACTCATTTGTACAATCGGTCAAAATACACCTCATACCCCAGGATTGGACTATAATTCATTAAAATTTCCTAATCTACTAATATTTAAATTATTACAATAAGAGGTGACAAAACTAACGACTACATAGTTAATATAGACTTACATATTTAGTGCTACATATGAATTGGATGCATTCACCTACTTTGGCTGGAGTCACAAAAGACTTGTAGATTTATTTATTTTCAATAATACTGGGAATTAACCTGAGGGTCCGATTAGCGTATATTTTAGCTGTGGTTATAGCATAAATCATATTTGAGCCATACTACAGACTAGGTTGCAAATACGAAAATTCATATTAAATGAAAGATTAAAATTAATACACTCCGCTCAGGAATTTTTGGTGTTATCATTCCATTAAAAAATGCAAATCTCAGATCTATCATGTAAAATTGTTAAGAGCAAAACAAACAAATAGGAACTCTCCATAACATAAAAGTTTAAAACAAATAATAAAGAGATAACGCAAAATAAACAATCTCTTTTCTTAACAAAATTACAAGATGTAGCTTTCATAAAATTACTATTTAGAATAAATTATTGTATATCAGAAAATCAACAGTTTAATTGTATTGATATTATTATTACAAACCAGATTATTGAAATGCCTATAAGACATAAATTAGCTTGAACTATTATAATTTGACAATTAACAACTGATTTTGATAGTAGGAAAACCTTCATAATATACATACTTAAAACATTAAATAGAATTTATTGCAATGTAATATAAATAAAGATAAATAGTAAGTGAGTAGATTAGATCTACTCACAATTTAATAATATGCTTTACCTATTGGTACATAAAGTTTTTACCATTCAGAAAAGCCTGAGTTAGTGAAAATATCTTATGTTAAAAGTTATAATGGCTATAGCAGTTGTGAATAACCTATGTTTAGTTGGGATGGAGCGCTTCATAATATTGTATAGACAATTCCACTACTAAATCATCTTTTATGATTAAATTTTAAAGACTAAAAATGCCTCGATTTTCAAGTTAATATATTAATTATAGATGTTTCAATTATTTCCTGAAAAATGTTGTTGTAGAAAAAGAATTTAAAAAAAAATCTAAACCTCTTTAATTCAATTATTACTGAAATTAACATGCTTGTAATTTAATTACTGTTTCTGTAACGGTGATAGTAATTCAATTACATTCATATTGTGATTATTTTAGTAAGTTTTAAATTCAAATATAAATTATAGGCACATAATAATCAACACTGAAATGTTATCAAACATTATTCAATGTAATAACTTTATCACATTTCAAAATTTTAGCCAAATGGTTGTAATGCGGAATGCAATAACAATCGTTGCAAAACATTAACATTTCACATATGTTAAAATGATGTTAACATATTACTTAAATTGCTTTTCCACAACAACACAACTGAGTCAGTCACATGTACAGAGTGCATCTTATATTTACAAGACTACTAAGGCATTCCTCTATCTAAAATAAGCGTATTCTCGTAGTCGTACTATATTATATTGTGAAGCACTCCTTAGTCGTCATGCGCCCTTCCATTCAACGTCATTGTTCTAACACTAAATATTAACTATGACTATTCAATATAGGGGATTTATGTGTCAACATGGCACTGTTTCTTTGATATTTTACTAACAGGTACCCTTCATAGATGAATTATTCGCATTTAATAAATTAGTTGTTGTTAAGAGAAGTACAATAGCAAAAGATTTAGTATGCCAAACTTTTATTAGATAAAACGCAAGTTGTCTTAGTTAGAGACTATGCTGTTGGTAATTTATAAATTACTAAACTTGTCAGGAAAAGTTGTAAATATTATATTAAATCATAAAATTGCAACACTATTGATATGTTAAGCCAAACATAATTACCCTGGAAGGGATAATGGATAGAAAAATGGAACAGCGTATTCTCGTTTATTTAGAAATAAAAAATAAATAGGACAACAAACGTGAGTTACGTTGCGCGGAAGGGGGGAAGATCGAGTGGGGGCGAAGGCATTCATCGCACGTCTGTGAGATTGCTCTTGTCACCGAACAGTTTCACCAGCTGTTCCTCATAGTCGTCGATGTTGCGTTTCATAATTTCCATGCACGGGCCCAGAAGTCGCTCGAAGGTCTCCACGTCCAAGACTGCAATTGATATTTGTCAAGTTAGTAGAATGACCGTGCAGGCTTTTCGGTTACTGTACCTGGGTGTTAAAACACCCTTATGGGTTCAAATACCATTTTTTTATTTCCTTTAAAAATGTAACTTCTCCAGTATCATGGAGACGTGTTACATATGTACAAATAATAGCACACGGACAAACAACCAGACCAGGAACAATATTCTGTAGCTATACAACAGTATTACTCCACAACGTCTAGGAAGGAATAAAAGATATTAATAGTAACTTTTTGTGTCTTAAATTTTTATACATTAATAGAAGCGTCATTTAATCGTGACCGTGACGATCCTGGCTACAGCATCATATCTTTAAGTTTTTCTATCTTCACATTCATAACCATATCAGTTAAGTAGTACCTATTAAAGAGTCCTGTCATGCGGACTCCCAGTCTCAACGCACGCATACTTAACGTAACATAAAGCCAACATGTTTGTTTTGTTTCTTTTACCAAACCTCAACGTGTATACATAATTTAAAGGCGATACCACTGGACTTTTTGACTAGGTGGTAGATCCTTTTCGCTTAGGAGTCTATCTGGGTAAGTGCTACCCCCTTATCGCTCTTACCTTCTGCCGCCAAACAGCAGGTCTGCACTGTTCCACACAATACATGAGAAAATCCGGTTACGTTTTTTTTAAACCAGCACCAGTATAATATATTCATTTACTAATACAGACCCTTAAAACGGACCATAAAATCAAATATGGATTTATATATAAAACTAGCGTCTAATTGCATAAAAGGGTGTTTAATAAAATGACAGAATACTTGTCTTCATTCATCTTTTAGTCTTCAGTTATTTTTACAAATAAACCTGACGAATAAATCTGCTAGCAAGTTGAATTGTATACTAAAGAGCATATAATTACTAAGTTTTTAATATATCTCTATATTGTTTAGCAAGAACAATGAGCATTCCTAATGAGGCGAAATAGGCAAATGTGTCAGCTGCTAGCCAATCATAATTACGTACCATATAAAATCAGTGATTTTCTTTTATAATATTATTAGTTATTACTTGAAAATACTTTGTTACTGTCATTCATACTTTATTATAACATAAATATATATATCATCATCATCATTACAGCCCTTCACAAGTCCACTGCTGAACATAGGCCTCCCCCAAAGAATGCCACAAAACACGGTCCTGAGCCACCTGCATCCATCGACTTCCTGCATGTCTTACCAGGTCGTCACTCCATCTCGTGGGGGGACGCCCTACACTTCGCCTACCGGTACGAGGCTGCCACTCGAGAACCTTTCTTCCCCATCGGTTGTCGGTTCTTCGAGCTATATGGCCGGCCCACTGCCACTTCAGCTTACTAATCCGTTGGGCTATGTCGGTCACTCTGGTTCTACTGCGGATATCCTCATTCCTAAGTTTATCACGCAGAGAAACTCCGAGCATAGCCCTCTCCATAGCTCGCTGAGCGACCTTGAGCTTCCTCATACGGCCAGCAGTGAAGGACCACGTCTCAGTTCCGTAAGTCATCACTGGCAACACGCACTGGTTGTACAATTTCGTTTTAAGGTTTTGAGGTATGTCTGACGAGAAGATGTGTCGTAGCTTCCTGAACGCTGCCCAGCCGAGTTGAATCCGTCGATTGACCTCTCGGTCGAAGTTGGACTTACCTAGTCGGACTATTTGTCCCAGGTAAACATACTCGTCAACAACTTCGAGCTTAGTGCTCCCAACAACTACCGGCATAGGTGTGACAGGGACATTAAACATGATCTTTGTTTTGTCCATGTTCATCTTAAGACCTATCCGTTGGGAAACACTATTGAGGTCATTGAGCATAGTGCTCAGGTCCTCCAGCGATTCTGCCATAAGGACTATATCGTCGGCAAATCGAAGGTGAGTGATGTACTCGCCATTGATGTTGATACCGTATCCTTTCCAGTCCAGAAGCTTGAAAACGTCTTCCAATGCAGCGGTGAAGAGTTTCGGGGATATGACGTCACCCTGTCTTACACCTCTCTGCAATTGGATAGGTTTCGTACTCTGGTTCTGTACTCGGATAGCCATCGTAGCCCTACTGTACAAGCACTTCAACACTTCGATATACCGACAGTCAACTTGGCACCGCTGAAGGGACTGCAGCACCGCCCAAATTTCGACGGAATCAAAGGCTTTCTCATAGTCCACATACGCCAGACATAGTGGCAAATTGTACTCTTCGGACTTCTGTACAACTTTCCGAAGGGTATGTATGTGGTCTATGGTGCTAAAGCCCTTTCGGAAACCGGCTTGTTCGGGAGGCTGGAAGTCGTCAAGTCTGCGCGCGAGACGATTCGTAATGACTCTCGAAAACAGCACGTAGACGCGGCTCAGAAGGGAAATCGGTCTGTAGTTCTTCAAGAGAGCGTTGTCACCTTTCTTGAAGAACAAGACCACCGCACTTCTGCTCCACGCCTCCGGTGGAATGCCACCATGGAGGACGGAATTAAAGAGCTTCTGAAGGACTTCAAGTACCGGTCTTCCACCCGCTTTCAGAAGCTCCGCTGTAATTCCATCCTCGCCTGGGGCCTTACCGTTTTTAAGGTGCTGGAGAGCCATCCTAATCTCGCTCAGACTGACATCCGGGATATCTTCGGAATAGTGTCGGATGAGACTCGCTCTTGGATCGTTACTCACACTTGCGTGTGGCTCCAACGATGATGTGTACAGCTGCCCATAGAACCTCTCAATCTCACTCAAAATCTCAGGTGTCCCGGAAACGATGCTGCCACATTCTGTCTTCAGCTTTGACAGTTGGCTCTTTCTGGCAGACAGATCTCTGGCAAAGACTTTGGAGCCTTGGTTCCGCTCGATCGCTTCTTCAATACGAGCTGTATTGAAGTTGCGTAAGTCCCGCCGCATGCATTTGGAGATCTGTCTGTTCAGATGCCTGTATGCTGTCAAGTCTGTTGAAGAATGTAGCTTCATCTCCCGTCTAACAGCCATGAGATTAAGAGTGTGATCGGAGAGTTTTTGTGTTCTTCTGCGGCGGGTCTTGCAGAACTTAGCTCCGACCGCATGGACAGTTTCCACGAGCTGAAAGGTTTCGGGACTTTGGAACAGAGCACGAGGGGGACGGAGCGTTGACTTCATTAGACGAGACCTCTCCAACTTAACGTTTAGGTTCAGTGTGCCTCTAACCATTCGGTGATCGCTACCAGTTTTGACCCTCGCGATCACGGAGACATCACTGAACAGTTGTCATCTGGTCGTCATAATGAAGTCAATCTCATTTTTTGTGGAACCGTCGGGGCTCGACCAGGTCCACTTCCTGTGGGGCCGCTTCTGGAAGAAAGAGTTCATCATAAAGAGTCCCTCTTTCTCCATGAAGTCGGCCAGCTGCTGGCCCCTTGGGTTCGGTTGCCCTATTCCAAATTTCCCTACTTTCAACTCACCGTTCTCTCTTGTGCCTAGTTTTGCATTGAAGTCTCCCATTAACACCGTATATTGGGTTTTGGAGGAATGCATGGCTTTAGAGATATCCTCATACATTTCCTCCACCTCCTCATCGGGGTGTGTCGAGGTTGGTGCGTAAACCTGTATGACCTTCAGCGAATACCGTTTGGTGATTCTGAGTATAAGGTACGCAACCCTCGTCGACACACTCCCGATCTTTACAACGTTGTTAACGAGAGACTTGTGGACGATAAATCCGACACCTCCTTGGGACAGATGGTCGCCCTCCCGGTGATAGAGCAAGTTGCCGGATTCGAGGATTACCGTGTCCTCCCCCTCTCTTCGGACTTCGGATAATCCTATAATATGCCAGCGCAACTTGTCTATCTCTTCTTCCAGCTCCACGATCTTCTCGTCAGTCCTCAGGGTGCGTGCGTTGTACGTTGCCAGGTCGAGTCGTCTAAGGTGGCAACCGAACCTCCACCGGAGATTCTTAGCACCCCCTGCCCCGCCGTTACCATGGTCGCCACCGTAGCCAGGAATAGCGGGGCCGCCGGGGACTGGGGTCGGTTTTTTTGTAACTGTCATTCATAGGGGGGTATTTGCCATAGTTGCCACGCTTGGCGAGCGGGTTGGCAACCGCAGTTTTTTATTGTAATTTGGCTATTATCAGGAAGATGCTGCTGCCCATCTCCTGCCTGTTTCCCTTTGTCGCCTTTTACGACACCCACGGGAGGATATGGGGTAGTGGATATTCTTGACCGCCACTACACGGCTATATAATATAATATATATATATATATATATATATATATATATATATATATATATATATATATATATAGATATATATATATATATATATATATTTACATTCCCAATAGACACGGTAGGTGGCGCTGTTGACGAAATCCAGAAATCACCCGTGCGAAGCCGGGGCAGATCGCTAGTATGTAATAAGATATCGATAACCGCATCTAAATCGGTGGAGCCGTCTCGAGGAAAAAATTCGCTGCAATTAATTTTAAGGAGTGATTTTTTATTGCAGCGCCCCCTGGCGAGCTAACACCATAACACCTATCTGAGCACCATCGCCAATGAGTCGCAAACACTATACAGAAAACCGCATCGAAATCAGTCAAACTGTTTTCGAGATAAATGGGAACAATAGTTTCCACAGAAAATGTTCTTTGCAGCGCCCCCTGGTGAGAGAACACCATAAAACCTATCTAAGAACCATCGCCAATGAGCTACAAACCCTATACAGGAAACCGTATCGAAATCGATCAAACCGTTTTGGAGATAAATGGCAACATTCGTTTGCACCCTAAATGTTCATTGCAGCGCCCCCTGGCGAGTTAACACCATAAAATTTACCTAAAAACCATCGCTGATGAGTTACAAACCCTTTACATGAAACCGTATCGTAATCGGTCAAACCGTTTTGGAGATAAATGGCAATATTTGTTTGCACCCTAAATGTTCATTGCAGCGCCCCCTGGCGAGCTAAAACCATAACATTTACCGAAGAACATCTCCCTGATGAGCCACAAACCCTTTACAGGAAACCGTATCGACATCGGTCAAACCGTTTTGGAGATAAATGGCAACATTCGTTTGCACCCTAACTGTTCATTGCAGCGCCCCCTGGCGAGCTAACACCATAACATTTACCTAAGAACCATCGCTGATGAATTACATACCCTATACAGGAAACCATATAGAAATCGGTCAAACCGTTTTGGAGATAAATGGCTACATTTGTTTGCACCCTAACTGTTCATCGCAGCGAGCTAAAACCATAACATTTACCGAAGAACCATCGCTGATGAGCCACAAACCCTTTACAGGAAACCGTATCGACATCGGTCAAACCGTTTTGGAGATAAATGGCAACATTCGTTTGCACACACAAACAACCTCTCACCCTAAACGCATACACCTTCTCCGTTCCGTCACGGGTAATGAGGATATCCACAGTAGAACCGGAGTAACCGACATAGTCCAACGGATTAATAAGCTGGTGCCAATAGGCCAGCCATATAGCTCGAACAATCGACAACAAATGGGGAATAAAGATGAGTGATGACCTTTTAAAACATGCAGGAAGATGATGGATGCAGGTGGCTCAGGACCGTGCCTTATGGCATTTCTTAGGGGAGGCCTTTGTTCAGCGGTGGACTTGTAAAGGGCTGTAATGAATGTACGTATGAAATATGAAAAGAAGTAACTGCTAATCACCTCACAGCTGATCCAGGACATCTGTTGGCAATAATCTAAAAATAAGGGCTCCAAGGCTCAGTAGTCAGTTTTTTGAGAGTTGCTTGTGAGAGAAAACTTTTAAGAAAATAAAGATTGATACTCACATGCCACCTTAGTGGGTCCTACAGCGTAAACAGAGGCAGCACGGGGCTTATGTGTGACGAGAGCCAACTCTCCGAAGTAATCGCCCTTTCCTGCAAACAAGAGATTATGTATGACAACTAAATAGATATACTAAAAGTAAAAGAACAAGTTCAAAGATCATAATCAGGGTTGCCACCTTAAATTTGAGTAATTGGAATATATTGATTGTTAAGTTAGAAAACATTCCTACGACACGCTACTTTACATAGTCATCAGTTAGTGATCTTTCTCAAGTGTTTTGTTATTTATATTATGTAAAATTACGTAGACATTTTTCTTTTCTTTCATGTAAATTTAATTAATTTATATGTTAAATCCTAGAAAATTGAAAATACTTTCGTAGTTTACTGATATATTTAGCATAAAGTAAGGTTTAGGTAGGTGAAATGAGGAACAATAATTTATAATAAAGACTACATAAGTATGGACTTATAATAAAGCAGAAGAGTTTTTTGTTTGTTTAAACACATTATCTGTGGAACTACCAGTTCGATTTGAAAAATTCCTTTTGTATATTATGGTCAGATTCAAGAGGAATAGTATAGACTAAACCTCTCAGCTAGCCTTAAATATTGACTTTTGTTAAGCAAGTCAGAAGAAAAAGCGCTTCCAAACTGCTTTATCCGCTCGCGATACGTAAATACAATGTTTTACAAAAATATAGATCTTTACTCCATCTAAAAAAGTCCGCGATACCATATGCCTATTTCTTATACACAAGCCAAAATAAGGTATTAATGACAAAAAATGATTGAAAATTAAAAAGTTATTTATGAGCGTTATTATTAGGCATGCCATGGTAATCCTTACGAACGAAAGTTATTTCATTATCAAAACAATTTTATGAAGATAAACTTTGCTCTTTATAGCATGTTATTTGGACGCATAGTTTAAGAGATAATGAAAAATTAAAATAATTCAACACTCGGCTCGGCGCGCGAACGACACATAACCGACGATATTAATATACAAAAGGAATAACCCTAGGGAGAGAAACTAGCAGTGAACGCCTCTATAAACTGGCTCAGATGCGTGATATATGCGGGTGAAACCGCAGAGCACAGCTAGTTTATAATAAAATATAAAGTATGGATGGCAACCCTAATTATAATTATCTTGGAACCGAAAAAAAAATAGGTTTCATGATGATAATGATACAACAATTTTAAACATTTAATCTACATGAAAATTAGCTTTGAAATAAGTACACGCACTCGCACACACTTCATGTTCATTATTTTCTACCTTGTACTTAATTGTTTTTTCATTATTTTTCAAGTCGCCTAAACCTAATGTAGATGTACAGCACTAAAAATGGAAGACACTACCTTATAAGATATAGTTTTACAAGTAAGTTTAGTAGCCAGGGTTATGTTAATTTCTTAAAAAGATTTGTGGCAAATAAAGATTACTTATTTACATTATTTAGTAATTTATTACATTTATTGCAAAAATTACGAATAAAGTATCATTAGGGTGTGAGACTTGAATCCATCGTTGTACAAAGGGCTTTTCTAAATATTTCGTTATTTAATGAAAAAGTTGGCATCCTTCCTTACCTTACAATCGCGAGTGCATGCCGGCAGTAAGTCTAGTGTGACTCCACCATCCGAAAATTTGATAATTTTACACAAAAAATCTACGTTGCCTAACAATGTTTTAACTAAGTGTAGTGTCTGTGCTACCTTATCCTATAAAATGCAGACTACACTCAAACCCATGTGATTATGAAACAATGAGGACATGACGAATTGTCTTAATAGAAACAAAACAGAAAACGCTTGCGTACCAAGACGTTTGATCTCGTGTTCGTTGCCGTCGTCTCGCGAGATGCGGATGCTGACGGAGCCGTCCTCCACGAAGTACATCCCATCGGCGGTGTCTCCCTGGCGGATGATCAGCTCGCCGTCGATCAACGTGCGCGGCAGCAACGCGTCCGCCAGGTTGGCGCGCTCGTATGGCTGTTACAATAAGATATTTAAAATTAAATAACACCGGGTAAAAAGTACGTGTTGTCAGTGATGAATGAAACCGAAACACGGTCCTTCACTTATAGCCTAGGCTAGGACTAGGCTTAGAATTTCGCTGCGAGGTAAAATCCGTGATCTAGTTATTATATCATTAACATAGCTCAACGGATAAGTAAGCTGAAGTGGCAATGGGCCGGCTATATGGCTTAATCAACCAAAAATCGATGGGGAAGGTTCTCGAGTGGCAGCCTCCAGTGCAGTGTTGAGCGACTACCACTAGATGGAGTGACAACCTGATGAAACACGCAGGAGGTAGTCGACGAATGTAGTTAGCATAGGGCCCGTACTTTGTGGCAATGTATGGTTGAGGCCTATGGTATTAGTATTGGTCGTGTGATGGGCTGAAGTAATCGTGTGATAGTGAACCAATAAGCTTACCAATCAGTCTTTCCACCTGCCAAGCCTGACGATTAAAGCTAATGCTCTCTACAACTAGACAGATCAAGTCCAGCAGTTTACTTTAACGGACTTCTGATGACGATGAGGAAGAAGTCATGTCTTAGTTAGTGTTAGTTATGTGACTTGATTATACATGTTATATTCTATTGGTCTGTTTCCTTGTAGCCGTTGCACGAAGAACCGTAATATTAAATCATCATATCGATCCCTGGGCAGAATTTTTAAGACGTTTTAAATTGAGTTTGAATTTCAAGTGTTATAAATTATAATAATACTGTGGTCACGGAAATGGCCAAATTCATCTTAATAAGCAACTAAAACAATTATCGCTCAGTAAAATTAGTGATCATTCGCTAATAAGATGGGAGGCACGTAGTAAATTACGCACGCATTAACAAGGTTGCCCCACCGCGTACGTATTGATTGATTGACCGTTACAAATGCACGGGCGACAGAGAGTTGGCAGACTTCGGTGTGGAACCTCGTTCTCACGCGCTGTTACACCGAGTGTACTGACGTACATAACATATGCTAATAAAATGTTTTATTAGCATGTTTATTCCTCAAATATAACATGGGTTTATCGCAGAATACGAAAAAGCAACAAAAACATGTTAACCAGGACAGATCTCGCACACTCTCCATTGTACAAGCATACCAAATTGATCCTAGCACAACTAAATATTTGCATTTCCATTTATAAATAAAAAAAGAAATGATTCCTATATGTTACTGAAATTATATACAACAATGAAATTGAGAACTTGCATTAGTTACTTTTGATTTTGATAACGTTGAAAGAATTGTTTAGTTAAGTTGTTTTATCTAATAGGAAATTTAGAAACTGTATACTACGCTAATTCGATTCGGTTGAACAGATTTTAAGACACGGTTTCTTGTCCAATATTTTTTTAAATATACACTATATGTACAATGTCAAAACTTATTTATGGGACCAAGACGTGATCTTTTCTGCTGGTGACATAAGACTCAAAGTAGCTCAATGACCTATGGGATGTTCCGCTCAGTTTCTCTGCGTGATAGAAAACGAAACGAAAATATGCACATTACAATCATATAAACCAAAATAAAAAAACTCAGTTACTTCTACACACATACATAAATTGCACATGGATTAACGTCTATCCGAAACAATTACCTAAACTAATAATTAGATCGTACAATATTGTTCCGTGCGGAATTTAAACCCGCGGCCCCGCAGCACCTTAACCAAACACATAGCCACTGCGATACCGACCTGTCATTATGTAAGTTGAAGTGGCAGTGTGCCAGTCAAATTTTTTTTTTATTTTATTTTTTTTTATAGGAGAGGCGGCAAACGAGCATGCGGCTCACCTGATGGTAAGTGACTACCGCCGCCCATGAACAACTGCAACACCAGGGGAATCGCAGATGCGTTGCCGGCCTTTTAAAAAGGAGTACGCTCTTTTCTTGAAGGTCCCTAAGTCGTATCGGTCCGGAAAAATCGCTGATGGTAATCGATTCCACAAGGAGGTCGTGCGAGGAAGAAAACATCTTCTAAATCGCACAGTGGTGGACCGCCAATCATCCAGATGGTGTGGATGGTATCGGGAGTTCTGCCGCGATGTGCGTTCGTGAAATTTGGCGGCTGGGATTAATCCGAACAATTCCTCAGAGCACTCCCCATGGTAGATGCGAAAGAAAATGCAAAGGGATGCAACATCTCTTCGCAGTGCCAATGAATCGAGCCGATCGGAAAGGGCTCGGTCGTCGACAATTCGAGCCGCTCTGCGTTGGATGCGGTCAAGTGGAAGGAGCTGGCAATGGGGAGACCCTGCCCAGAGATGGGAACAGTATTCCATGTGAGGCCGAACTTGCGCCTTGTAAAGTAGCAGGCGGTGTGCCGGCATGAAATACTGTCCCGCTCTACTGAGCACGCCAAGCTTTTTAGAGGCCAATTTGGCCTTCCCTTCCAAGTGACCACGAAACTGCACGTCACTCGATATGTCGACTCCGAGGATACCGATACTGGCTGAGGCAAGAAGGGGAGTGCCTTGAAACTGAGGAGATACGACAAAGGGGTTCTTTTTAGCGGTAAACGCGCAAACTTGTGTCTTCTGAGGATTAAATTGGACTAGATTTAGTCGCCCCCAATCCGAGACTTTGTTCAGCAAAGACTCGACTTCAGACACAAGTTTGTTCCGGTACTCAGCGACGTTTTCCCGAGAAATATTGGCACGGCCGGTGTATAGAGCATCACCAGTGCTGTCATCCGCATAGCAATGAATGTTACCAGTTAGCAACATATCATTGATATGCAGAAGAAACAGCGTTGGTGATAGCACACAGCCTTGTGGAACACCAGCGTTAATTGGCTTGTAGTCAGAGCATGCACCGTCTACAACGACCTTGATGCTCCGATCTACAAGGAAGCTGGTGATCCAATTGCACAATTTCTCAGGAAGCCCATAGGAAGGGAGCTTCGAAAGAAGCGCTTTGTGCCAAACCCGATCGAAGGCCTTCGCAATGTCCAGACTAACGGCCAACGCCTCCCCCTTGGACTCTACTGCCTCCGCCCATCTATGGGTCAGGTAGACCAGAAGATCACCAGCTGATCGACTCCGACGAAAACCGTATTGGCGGTCACTAATCAGCTGGTGATCCTCAAGGTACCGGATGAGCTGGCAGTTAATAATGGATTCCATTATTTTGGAGAACAAGGAGGTGATCGCGATAGGCCTATAGTTGGATGGGTCTGAGCGGTCGCCTTTTTTAGGGATCGGGTGGACAAAAGCTGTCTTCCATGAATTCGGGACTACGCCTTGGGAGTAGGAGTACCGGAAAAGACGCGTTAGGACCGGTGCCAACTCCGGAGCACACGTCCTCAGCACAATTGGGGGGATTCCGTCAGGCCCACTCGACTTCTGGATGTCCAGGGAGAGCAGTGCTTTGCGAACCGAGCGCTGTGAGAACAGCACATCCGGCATGGAGCACTCACACCGCGGGATGGTCGGCGGTGTTTTCCCCCCGTCATCAAGAGTCGAGTTGGACGCAAAAAGGGAGCCTAAAAGGTCGGCTTTATCTTTTGCGTCATGGGCCAGTGAGTCATCCTCCCTGTGCAGAGATGGTAGTGATGGCTTACAGAAATTCCCTTGGACAGCCTTGGCGAGAGACCAGAATGCACGGGTTCCCGAAGGAAGGCGAACTAGTTTCTCGCCAATTCTGCCAATGTGCTCTGACTTTGCCTTGGCAATAACTCTTTTGAAGGACCTGGAGGCGAAGTTATACTTCTTTTTAAGTGTGCTGGTATTTACATCCCGAGTCGCCGAAGCCGCAGCCCAGGCTTGATAACACTCCTGCTTACTGCGTAATGCAGTCTTACAGGAGCGACCAAACCAAGGCTGAGATCTGCCTCCGATGGGTACCACAGATGATGGAATAAATAGTTCCATTCCCTGTAGCACCACATCAGTGACAGAGTCAGCAACAGCGCTGGGATCATCCGGCGAGAAGCAAACCCGCCCCCATGGGTAGGATGCAAAGAAGGACCGCATTCCGTCCCAATCCGCCGACCTGTAATGCCAAACACGGCGGCAACCTGCAGAACGCAACCGCGAAGGGAGCGTGAGTGGCACCACACTCCGAATCAGACAATGGTCCGAAGAGCCGAGAGGGGCATCGACGGAAACCAGATATCCGTCCGGATGAGAGGTCAGCAGAAGGTCCAACAGGGAAGGTGTATGATCCTCCACATCTGGAATCCGCGTAGGCGAAGTAACCAGTTGTGTCAGACCATATGCCAAGACAAAGTCATAAACAGATCTCCCCGCATGATCGGTTAGACGTGAACCGAGCCATTCGGCATGGTGGGCGTTAAAATCGCCAAGGATCACGATCTCTGCGGATGGGACCTGTTGTAGCAAGAAATCTGTAGCCATTTGGACGTGGTCGATGAGTCGGTCTGTTTCGGCATTACCGCTATGGGACCTATAGAGGCACCCGTAGACGCGCGGATGGTCGTCGCTGTATATAAAAATAAATATCTAGAAGAAGCGACAAGCGATAGGGAAAAGCGTTCTCGAATCGCAGCCTCGTACCGGTAAGTGCAGTGTGAAAGCCATTCCACACTGCGCTGGATTAACGGAAGGAAACACTTTCGTCCCATCTCCTTTTATAGTTCGTATATTGTATGTGTAAAGGACTGATGGATATACTAGGAAGAGCTAATACCCTTCGGATCTAAATTATAATCTCGTGTAGATCAAAAATACAGGTGACGAAGATCAGTGTCAAATGTGCAAAATAAGTACTGTTTGCCGAACCACCAGCTAACGTGGCGATTATAGAAATTTTAGTAGTGAACTAGCTTAGAACGGGCCGATGATGTTGGTATAGTGGACATATTTATGAGATGAATTAAATTACGTTACTTAATAAACACATTTGATCATAGTAAATAACGTTCATCACGAGTCTGCGAAATATTGATTCAGCGTATTTTTTACGTGGTAGACCCATGCTGCAGCTATATTTAGTAGTATTAGCACGAA